TAATTGGTCTGAGGTCATCCTTCAGGGTGACCCTACAAAGTAGCTAAATATACAGAGGTGATATGAGGTCATCCATCACATTGACCCCAACAAAATGGCTGTAAATGTGGTCTGGGTGCTCAAGTGTTCACACCTCTTGTGTCAAACAGCGATTTCATCCACAGTATTTACATCTGTAATAGCTGATGATAGCATTCAATGAAAAAAAAAAGAAAAATCATAGTGTTTGGAAATTCATTGATTTTCTTTTTGTGGAACCTTTAAAAGATCCAATCTTCTTTATAATACTTGGAATTAAACAGTGTACTTTATGGCGTTTGTTTTAACAGTTGATTTTTACTTAGCTCTATAAATACTCGGGTGTATTCAAATGTCTTCAGAGGCCATGTGCCAGTGATTGAAAGTTTTTAATTAGTATTTCCAGAAATAATGATCGGGAAGATGAGCCAATCATTAAAATAGCTGGTACCAATCTCCCATTACTACCCAGATTAATCATTATCTTTAGGAATGTTAGCTCATTATTGTGCAGAACACCATTATATAGCTTTATTAAATGTCAGGAATATGTGTAATATCGTGGTGTAAATGAGATATTTGGGTTTTCTGTAATAACAGGATTTTAATATAGTTTTTACTTACATTGTACAATGACCCATTTTTAACTGTCACATTGTCTCACCCATGAACACGGTGTTCCGGTGACAGTTGGTCTCTGATTTATGTGCTGTATATCAGGAATATGGTTAGGTGGATTCAGTTACATATTACATTAAGTGACTTCTCTATTGCCATGAGTTTTCAGTTAGAAATCTAGATTCATCAACAGCTAATCATCATAGTCCATGTTAACCACAGAATGGTATGTAAGATACTTCTACCAATATTACACAGAATTTCCCATCAGTGGAAATGGCTACAATATAGAGATATGGCTGAAGATGTGGAATATGTTCCATAACAATAAGAACGCCGCCAGGCTCCCACTGTTAAATCACCCAATTTCACTTTCAAGTACCATTTCAAGTTGTTCTGTCGAAATCCCATGTAGTGTACACAGTCTGCGGTTGAAAGGGTTTCTCAGAGATGGGAGTTGAACAGGTTCATCTCTATCCCAGTCCACACTTTTTTTGTTATCTCAAATTTGATTGGATACTTCAATTACTCCATTTCCACCTTCAATGATACATTGAATATGGTTTAGTTACCACTCTCAACGCTTTCCTTGTTATCTGATTTTTGATTGGTTCAGTTTCAGGGCAATTATCTGTATATTATCATGCAATATATTGAATATCCTTATATTGATGTGATACCTTTGTAGAAGTGTTCATCACACATCCAATTTTCAAAGTGTTGAAAAATAGTTTAATAGGATGAATTAAGGCTAAATCCTGTACAGTTTAATTTGATGTTGTATAAATTGCATCAAGTGCAATTTGACACTTTATGTTTTCGTGGTGCTATGGATGAGTAGACATGACAAAGAATAAGAGGTCATATCCAGTATCTCAAGGTTAAAGAGCAAGGGTCAAATGTGGTCAAAAGTGGGGTTAGATTTACTACCATAGTGCTTTCTTGGTTTCGGCTTGATGCTATCTGGTACAAAATTGTTGGTTTTCTGTGACAACTGTTTCATGGTTGGCTGGTGCTTAAGTAGGGGTGAATTCACCCCAATTTTCCTGCCATAAAACTTGATAATCCAAGCCTTTTTACACAAACATTATTAACTTCATGTGATTTTTGGGAGGTTAGAGAACACATCCTATTAAACGTAGAACTGTGTAACTGTAATTCATGAAACCATCTGTTTTCTTTTGTTTGTGTTGGTTTGTTTGAGCATTATCTTGTGTATTTCAGTGCAGGTTGTATTGTTTGTGTTGGTTCGCATCTCGTGTATTTCAGTGCGTGAGTTTAGGTCATTGTACCAGATAAACTGAGACGTCTTTTATCTCGCCTCAAATACACATCTCTATCTGTGTGGCACGTATCATCTTCTGTACATTAAATCTGACAAAAATGTACTAAAATAAATGGAGAACCACAGCCACTGTATTACCAATCATCATTATTAAAGAAATATAAGACTGATTCAAAATACTGGCACACATCAATGACAACCAGTCCATTGCTTTGTAGTATTATATTGAATTTGAACTTTAACGGCTGATGTTTAGTTAAAACAAGTGCAAATACCACTCATGAACAATGGATGTTTTCATGACGTTTTTTCTCCATGAAGAATTTGATCCATTTTCTTTGTTTAGTTAAAATGTTGTCATGGGAACAATGAGGATGCTAATGATAGTTCTAGTTCCTCTTTGTTTTAGGAAGATTGTAATTTTTCTGGTCTGATTGTTAACTTTGAAGACAGTTTAATTCATGACAGTATAGTGAGAAAAGATTAAAGAGGTTTATAGGTAGAGTGAGGGGAGTCAATAGGTATAAGAATGGCTGAAGAGGGTATTGGGTGTTAGGGGGTTGAGTTTGCAGATGGTGGACACAAGCAAGGTGTAGAGAGTATAGGCGATTGTTGGGGAAGAGGGAGGGAGTTGGGTGTACAGGGAGAAGTAGGGAGGACAGGATAGAAGGCAGGATGTAGGATAAACTATGGGTTGACAGCAGTAGAATAGAGAGGTAGAGAGGACATGGTAGAAGGCATGATGTAGGATAAACTATGGGTTGACAGCAGTAGAATAGAGAGGTAGAGAGGACATGGTAGAAGGCAAGATGTAGGATAAACTATGGGTTGACAGCAGTAGAATAGAGAGGTAGAGAGGACATGGTAGAAGGCAAGATGTAGGATAAACTATGGGTTGACAGCAGTAGAATAGAGAAGTAGAGAGGACATGGTAGAAGGCAGGGTGTAGGGATAATTACAGTTGTTAGGTAGGGATGCTGCAGAAGAGATAGTAAAAGGACAGACAGAGAAGAAATAGATAATGGTTTGGATCAAGTAGCAGAGGTGATGAAAGGCAATAATGTTATGTCTGTTGACTGATCAGTGCAGCATAAGGTCAGAATTGGTGTAGGTCAGTTAGGCCAAGTCCAGTCTGACCATCAGTGTATATTACTTACAAAGGTCAAGCCTTGGTCATTGGTAAGGGCGGAGAACATGAAAAGCCACTGTGGTAGAATCTGTAATCACCTTTCCATTCTTCCCTTCCTGTACCGTGTCTTTTTGTGAAGGCGTCTTAGAGGTTTCTGTAAAATTCTGAACACCCTGATGACCGGTGGATGTTAAAGTGCATTTTAACAAAGTGATAGTGATGAAGTTATCATTGTAACTTGATGTTTGTATTGTAGATAACCACTAGTAGGTTTAGTATTTTTACCAACACCCCACCCACCAAGACTGCATTGATCCCAGTGACCTAGGGTTGTGTGGTTTCTAAAACACCCTCTACCACTGACCTAAGCCACATGGAATCATGTGGTTCCTAAAACGCCCTCTATCACTGACCTAAGCCACATGGAGTTATGTGGTTCCTAAAACGCCCTCTATCACTGACCTAAGCCACATGGAGTTATGTGGTTCCTAAAACGCCCTCTATCACTGACCTAAGCCACATGGAATCATGTGGTTCCTAAAATGCCCTCTATCACTGACCTAAGCCACATGGAATCATGTGGTTCCTAAAACACCCTCTACCACTGACCTAAGCCACATGGAGTTATGTGATTCTTTAAACACCCTCTTTAATTGACCCCAGCCACATGGGGTTGTGTGGTTCCTTAATAAAAACCCGCTACCTGACTGCTCCTGTCATTCTGTCATTCCACATTTGATATAATTATGTATGATGGGCTGTGATAGTGGTTATAACGAAAGGCAGTAGAATCCAGTCTGTGTGCAAGAACATGCTTAATAAATTATCAATTTCCTTTTTTTTTAAGTTGTAAGATGAAAGATTTATACATGGAAGTTACGTGTTTAATAATGCGTGAATGCAAATATTATATCTTTCTGACATTGGAGATTGTAAGGGACACTAAACTGGCAAAGAGTGGCTAGTTTTTTATCACCGTTAATATGTTTATGGTTTTAATGCATATTACCACCTAATGATAGGGAAAGGCACACAGGGCTTTCTTATGTTGACTGACTCATGAACCTGCTTGTTTATCATGTAGATATGGTTTTCTTTTCCATTTCTCTTGATAAATATCTTGAAGTTTATACGTTTCCCCCATCAGCAAATCTTTGTGTCTGTCTATATGCACTTTGCTGGAGATGCATTGATCACCATATCAATCTGCAGATGTTTACATGTAGGGTGTACAGTAGGGGTCAACAGATAGAGAACCTAAGGGCTCCTTCAGTTACATAGAAGAGATACTTAATATCACAGATTACATATTTAGATATTGTCAGATCTTCAATAATTTTCACATATTTCTTCTCTAAAGAGAATTTCGAATATGAAAATTTGTGATAGTGAATAAAAGTATTTCATTATTATCTACAAGTATTTAGCAACATCTGAACATCAATTTCTTTGCTTTCAAACCAGAAAATATTTAAATGACGTTCTTGAGTAGTTATCAGCCATTACAAATTGCTGTGTTTCTTCTAAAGTGTTTATTTTTATCTTGCACTCGGAACACTTTTTTCCCATTTAATGTAGAAATTTTATTGCTGATTTCTCCCAATTTCGTCTCACCTCTCTCAGCATCTTTCACATGTGCTTAGATAGTGGTGTGCAATCCTTTCAGAGATTTTATCAGGACTTGTCCATTTCATAGTCTTTTAACAAACTTGAACATGAAAGAATACATATCATTGTTCCTGATGAAACATTTTAGTCAATATCTGCACAGTAATCCTAAATTGTTTTTTAACTCTAAAAATGTATAAATCATTTCAGCTCTGTTACATTTCAAAGGATTTTGCATGGTCTGTATATGTAGTTTTTCTCACAATTTTCAAATTAAAAAAAAAAAAAAAATTTAAGGTGGATTTTCCTGACTTAATGACCTATATACTGTATATTTTCCAGGGTTAGGAAAAACAGCAGAAGTTGAGCTGCGGAAACCAAGGCCAGATGAAGTGTCTCTGGGTTCAGAACTATCCCTCAAATGTATTGTCTCTGGAAATCCTGAGCCAACCTACCTTTGGTACCACAACAATTTCAGGTAAGTAAGATAGTGGGCAGTAAGATAGAGATAGGCTTTGTCTCCTGTGGTACCATGATGTTATATAGCTTTGGATACTCTGAGACAACAATTATGTGTACCCCTCTGACTCAGGAGTCGGCTGTCAGGTGTACCCCTCTGACTCAGGAGTTGGTTGTCAGGGGTACCCTTCTGACTCAGGAGTCGGCTATCAAGTGTACCCCTCTGACTCAGGAGTTGGTTGTCAGGTGTACCCCTCTGACATAGAAGTCAGCTGTCAGGGGTACCCCTCTGACTTGGAAGTCAGCTGTCAGGTGTTATCCTCTGACTCAGGAGTTGGTTGTCAGGTGTTATCCTCTGACTCAGGAGTCGGTTGTAAGGTGTACCCCTCTGACTTGGAAGTCAGCTGTCAGGTGTACCCTTCTGACTCAGGAGTCGGTTGTCAAGTGTACCCCTCTGACATGGAAGTCAGCTGTCAGGTGTTATCCTCTGACTCAGGAGTCGGTTGTCAGGTGTTATCCTCTGACTCAGGAGTCGGTTGTAAGGTGTACCCCTCTGACTTGGAAGTCAGCTGTCAGGTGTACCCTTCTGACTCAGGAGTCGGTTGTCAAGTGTACCCCTCTGACATGGAAGTCAGCTGTCAGGTGTTATCCTCTGACTCAGGAGTCGGTTGTCAGGTGTACCCCTCTGACTTGGAATTCAGCTCTCAGGTGTACCCCTCTGACTCAGGAGTCAGCTGTTATGTGTTCCCCTTCCTGACTCAGAGTTTGTAGTTATGTGTAATGTTACCAAATTATACAGAAACAAGCTATTAATGCTACTACATATTTACAATTGATACATAGTTAATTTAGTGCTACAAAAAAGCTAGGTAAGTATATGTAAATATATACTTATTGTATCATAACTCACATAGGTAATTAGGTGGTTAAAAAGTATCATTTACCTGTGTCATTGTGTTTTAAAATGGATAATAAGGTAGATGTTTGTAAACTGGGGATTCGTCACGATTGGGTGGATAGTGGGTACTTTGTTAGAGGCATCATATCACAGTCCAGAGGAAGTGATTCCAGTAGATGTACTCTGACTTTCTGATGCGGGACTGGAGCTTCTTTTATAGCTTTCATAAGTAATTTGTCTCTATATCTTATAAACAATCATTATATAGTACTGACAAAATTTAGATTTAACAGAATAATCAGCAACATATCAAATGGTATCTTGTTGGTTCATTTCCAAAGGAAATAAATAAAAATTGACTTGTTATTTTTCAGTGTTAAAGCTGAGCTCTCTGATTGGTCAGGTTATTGAGAAGTAACAGAAGTATTTACATTAGAAAAATATCGGACTATTTTCACTATAAATCTATCTTAAATGAAGTCCTTGTCTCACTGAAAATTCCTCAGTGCTTTGAAAAAGTGCTTGCTTGCACGGATTGCTTTTTATGCCTGGAGGCCAAAGTTGAATGTCACTTTAACTAAAAACAAAGTTGGTTTCTACAAAATACTTATCTTGAGTTCTCTTCAGCCCATTCTATATTATTCATCCAGTGCTTCTTCCAAATTGCTTTTCAAGTCCAGAAGTCAAAGGTAAAGGTCACTGTTACTATAAATAGAACATTTTTCATGACTGTTATAAAGTCTGCTTTTGATTGCTGTTTCAAATGTTTGAATTTCAATTAACATCCATCCTACTATTTATAGAAACCTACTTTAGCATTTTCCTTTCCAAACTCAACTGCAGAAAAATAATATTTATGATGATAGACATCCAGCACTCCTTGTGAAATCATGTAAATGTGCTTCATGTGATAAAACAGTTGTACAAACATAGGTATGGGATTAAATTTGTGGTTTTACATGTCACAACTGACTTACCAAAACATGCATCAGAGGAACAAATATTACAATACTTATGATAAAGTCTGTTTCTATGTCTTTTGTTTAATCCGTTTCGATCATTAATACAATTCTCCTATGAAATACGTGTCTATTCAGCAAAATGGATTTGATATATAATGAATACATTGATGGTTTATAATTGAAGTAAAACATTGAAATAAGGAATTTAAAACAAAATATTGATGTTGAGCATCGCTCCGTTGTGTATGGTTAGATATAAAATATGTTGACTGGGAATGTGAGACAGCTGGTTAAAAAGTTGAAGTGAATGTTGGTAATGGTATGACACAAGGCTATGTACAGCATCCATGGGATGTTGATTCAGTGGCTACAGAGGGGAGGACAACTCTCAGTGGCACCAGTCCTTCCCTCTGTTAGTCTATTCTCAGCACTGATTGGTTGAATTGGTTTGGATGGCCAACATCTGTAGTGAAGTGGTCTGTGGAACAATCTCCTGGCCCATTACTTTATGTGAAGATGTGATGCCATCTCCAGGCTAAGTCTAGGTATACACCTCTTGGCAATCCCCAACTTACAAAAGTGTAGTTCTGCTCAAATTGTGCATTATCGAAAACTGCCTTAACCAGCCCCCAAACAAAAAGCAGATGATATTACTCTTAAACATGTGTGACCGGGGCATCCATAATGGTCATAAAAAGCAAGCAAAATTGCCCAATCTTGCCATGGGAACTCAAAATCATGGCTCCCATCTAGGCTACACATCAAATATTTATATTGTTCAACTTTTTAAGAGTTGTTAAAGTACATACAGTGCAATGGTAGTTAGACTATTTAATTCATTCTCTTAAAAAATCTAAATTCATGGTATGTTTTACAGTAATACTTATGTACATAAAAAGTTGAATATAAGCAGGATTGTCTACCATTTGGGAGGAAACATGTTAGGTTGTGCATTTTCCTCATAATTTGGGACAAATGTAGGATTATTACTGCAAGCAGAAAAAACATCAATTGTAAATTAGATATTTGAGCAATTTTATAATTGGATACTGAGGAACCTGTTGTGATCAGCAAGCCTTAGATTCCTGCAAGGCCTATTTAGTTCCTGGAAGGTCAGAGACAAATTTACTAAAAACACGGTAGTGAGGGTCGGTAGCGAGGGTGGCGACTCATGAGGAGATGGCAAGGTGATACATTTGATACATCAGGAAGTCCATTTACTTAGAGAAGATAACAACAGAAACCTGTCCGACCATTTCTAACATATGGTCACTTATGATAATGGGGAAGACTTACCAATATCTGATCTGACCAGCACTACCTCTTCTGGCATCAACAGATTATTCTGGTGCTATCTCAAGGTCATAGTGAATCCTTCCCAATTTTTTATCATACTTGATTTAAAGGCACTCTGTTATTTAAACTATTGCATTGAATTTTAGCCATTATTTCACCACTCATTGTTTAATCTTAGAAACAGGTACTGTTTATTTTACAGATTTGGTCTGGTTTAAAAAATAAACCTAATAATGACGTATGTATTGTGTAATTACTCAAGGTCATCATCAGATCTATACCTGTCATGATATAGTATTCACAGATTTATATAAAGATTAATCTCCCTTTGCAAGCTCTCCAATATGATAAAAGAATGATTTCTTTCCCTCCGCTCTTGCAGCAGATCAAGGCACACTTTTCTTCAAGAGAGGTTAGATTAAGCACCCATTATATAGTTACACCTGCAACCCCAACATCCGTTAACGCATGTCAGATGCATCCAATCATATTAGCAAAAAATAACCAATAGCCAATTAAAAGCCCTCGGCCTGAAACCGAGAATTTCAGATCGCAAATGTTAGTTAGTTTATAGGCGTCCTTAATAGCCTGGTAGTAGTGTATATGTAATCAGCGAGTTCAAGCTCCTCTCTCACTGAAGATAAACGACTGTGGATAACATGATTTGTTTTCTTTTTTTAGTGTTGACTGTTGATCACCTGGCTGTATTTAATGGTTTTGTACCATTTTTGAAATATACTATTTTGGAAGGCAAGTTTCTGTGTATGTTATGGGGTTGTACTTTTGGTATATTTGATATGTCATCATTCTTAAAATGAAACCATGGGTTTTTTCACTCTTGAAGTTCAAGAGCACTGTATAAAGATGTAAAAAGGAATTAAAAAGTCATTTATTACACAGGTTACTTGCCAATGCAATCAGTTCTTGGTTGATACATTTGATAACTTTGTGGTTTACCTAAATTATAAAGAGTTGCTATCATAGTGTTAAAGAAAGATATCATAATAAAAGTATTTCAACGATCACGATTACATATAAAATAATATACAGGTTCAGTTATCAGTAGTGGAATCTGTTTTAACTTGTGTACTTCTTAAAAAGTCCAAAACTCATAAAACAAAACTGCAGCTTTGCACTAGAGAATCCCAAATGTTAGTATCTAACAGTTTGTTACAGAAAATTAATTTTGTGTACCTAGTACATAATATACTGGGATTATCGTACTTGACAAGAAGGAAGCAAGATGTTTTCATCATCTACAGAATTGCATTTTGGCATGTTAATGCTTTTTCTGAGTATGCATATAAATACACTAAACATTTGAACATCATAGTTGTCAGTACTAATTCAGAATTACATGGCACCATAACACAAGCCTGCAGCCATTCATTACACATGACAATCACACAGCAATGCACCATTTAGCCTTGTTTTAAAGTGTAAATTTAAATGAAAAAAGGTTTTGAATATTAAGGCTATTTCAAGGACTTTGTATGGCATCCTACTTATGGAGGTAAAATGTCAGCTACTTGACTTTCTGATGGCTGTTACTATGGCACTATTTGTACATCAGGAGCCATTCTACATTATCCTTACAAAACAATATTTTAAAGAACCTCTTGCTGTAACATACAACAAAAATTGAGTTTGGCATTTTAAAAACAAAGGATCCCTTCAGTGAGGTCTGATTGTTTCTAGAAGTGGCTAATGGGAACATTTTTCAGGGAGTAATGAGTTTTTTTTTTATTTAATCTAGAGGAGAAGATAAAGTATTTGTCATAAAAGATCATTTTTGAATGCTCATTAAATTCTCACACAAGTTATACACTGAAATAATATATCTGTTCTATGTATTTTTGTGAT